GGGGATGCTCCGGTGAGGGGATCCAGCGGCGGCTCCGCGCCGCAGCCCGGGGTGCCCGAAGCGGGGCAGCCTCGCAAGAAATATCTCTGTGCGCGGGGGCGGAGGTGTCTGCGTGTCTCTTCTAGCTGGGATATCCCTGCTCCGAACCCAAACTCTTTCCAAGCCTCTTCCCCTCGCGGTGAGCGGAAAGTTTCGCTCTGAAGTTCGCTCGTGCTGGGGATTTGCCATGCGCTCGCGCGGGTTTTTTATTTTTCGTGTTGTTTTAGGGTTTTTGCGGTGGGGTTTTTTGTTGCTGTTGGTGGTGGTTTTTTGTTTGGCTTTTTTGTTTTGTTTTGTTTTTGTGTTGCTTCTCTCGTTTTTGTTTTTATTCGGGTGGGTCGCCTTCAAACCCCGGGTTGGAAACTTTTCCCTTTAAAAACTTGTGGCTCTGAGCGCGGGAGGAGGGAGAGATCAGGGTCGGGCTTGCTCCAGCTGCTGATGCTGACTCCTGATCGCAAACCTGCTGACGTGCACCGGGATGGGCACCACGATCTTGGGGTTTCGGGAAGGTTCCCCTGTCTTGGAGTTGGCGTTGCCCGCCTTGACCCGTTTCCATTTCGCCCGCCTGTTCTGGAACCAGATTTTCACCTGCACCTCGCTGAGTTTGAGGGCGTGAGCGATCTGGGACCTCTCGGTCAGGGACAGGTACTTTTTGCAGTGAAATTCCTTCTCCAGCTCCAGCAGCTGCTCGCTGGTGAAGGCTGTTCGCCTCCGCCGGTTTTTGCCCGTGGACGTGGTGTTGGTGGAATTGGGGGGGTTCTGGGGGTTCTCCTCCAGCACGTTGCCAGAGTCCTCTTCCTTGTGAGCCGCCTGGCCGGGGATGTTGTCGTCCGAGCTATAATCTAGATCGCTGTCCATGGAGAAACTTTCCTCCTTGCCTTTCGCGTCCTCCTCTGCTTTGGGGTCCTCCTTGCCCTGGCCCCGGAGAGCCCCGGCTGGGAAGGAAGCAGAGGCCTCCCGTTAGCATCCCGCACCCTCCGTGCCGCGCCCCCGCGCCCTGCAGCTCCAGCACCCCAAAACTGATGCCTCGGGGATCCTTTTTTGTTTTGTTTTGTTTTCCTCCTTTTTTTTCCCCCTCTATCCGCTGGCGCATCTTTCGTTCGCTCCGATTTCGCCGATAGCTCCCCGAGCGGCGGCGGGAGCTCAGCCCTCCCTTCTCTCCCCTCTCCCCGGCCCGGCGGCGCCCCGGGCCCGGCCCCGTCTCCTCCCGGGGGTCCCCCCGCACCTCCCGACCCCCGCATCCCGGGCGGCGGCCCCCGGTCCCCCCCGGCGCTCACTCACCGAGGGAAGCCTGGACGGCGTCGGCGGCGGGGAAGGGCAGGAGGGCCCCGTCCTTGCCCAGGAAGGCTTTGCCATCGTCGCCGCCGCCGTCCGGGGGTATCCCGTCGGCTTTCTCGAAGTTCCCCGGGGGCGCGAACTTCCTGGCGGCCTCCTGGTGCTGCGGGGAGGCGGGGAAGGTGCCGGGCAGCGTGGCCATGAGCGTGGAGGTGAGCGCCATGCCCTGGGCCAGGCTGGAGCAGAAGCCGGAGGGCAGGCTGGGCAGCTGGTGGTGGTGCGGGTGCGCGGGGGGCAGCGCGGGCTGCAGCGCGCCCTGCGGCAGCGCGGGCGGCGGCGGCGGCGGCGGCAGCACCACGGGCCGGTAGGGCATGAACATGGGGTAGCCGGTGTACACGAAGTGCCCGGGGGCGGGCGGCGGGGGGCTGCCGATCAGCGAGTCGATGCTGAAGGCCGTGCTGCTTCCCAGCGGGCGCTGCATCATCATCAGCGAGGGCTGGAAAGCCGCGCTCATGCCGGAGCGGCGGCGGGAGCGGGCGGGCGGGCGAGCACCTTCCTCCTCCTCCTCCTCCTCCTCCTCCTCGTCCTCCTCGCCGTCCGGCCGCCCGGCGGCGGCGGCGGCGGCGTGCCGGCTGCGGAGAGCGCGGGCAGAGCCGGGCGGAGCGGGGCCGCGGCCCGGCAGCTGCCGCACCTCGGGGCCGCCCCGCCCGCGCTGCGCCCCCGCGGAGCCGCCGCCGCCGCTCTGCCCGCGCGCGCCGCCCGCGCCCATTCACATTTCGGCCGCCTGGGAACCCGGCCCGCCCCACGTGGCCGCCGCCGCCGCCGCCCATTGGCCGGGAGCGGCGGGGGGCGGGGCCGCGCGGGAGGCCCCGCCCCGCTGGCGGCGCCCCGGCCCACGCGTGAGCGCCGCGGGACAGCGCGGCCGCGCCGGGCGCCCCAGCAACAGCTCCGCTGCCCGCACCTTGCCTTCTCCCTTCCTTCTTTTTACTGTTTCTTTTTAATTCACGCTCACCCCTTCTTTTTTTCCCCCCTCCCTTCTTTGCCCCCCTTTCTTTTTTTTTTTTCCCTCTCCCCCAAATAGGCTCCATGTGGTTCTGGGTAAAGTCAGCCCCTGGCTTGGCTTTGAAATTGCTTCTGCAATTATGTAAAAGAGCCATTCAGCAACACGGAGGAATTAAAAGCGATGGAGGGGCTGCTCCCTTTTCTCCGGCGAGCTTCTCATGTTGGCCGGCTCAAAGCCTTTTCCAACACGACGTCTTTGGCGAGGACAAAAGCTGGAACAAAAAAAAAAAAAAAGGGGGGGGGGAAAAAAAAAAAAAAACCCCAAAAAAGAAAAATGAACGTCAAGGGAACTTTACACAATTTCAAAGGCCATAAATAATGATAAAGGGACCAGGCGAAGAGGCAAACCCAGGCAATTAATGGAGGTTCCCAAGCAAAGATCAAGTGGTTTGGGAAAAAAAAAAAAATGCAGGAAAAAAAAAAAAAAAAAAAAAAAAAAAAAAAAAAAGAAGAAGAAGAAAAGAAGGAGAAAGGAAAAAAAAAAAGAGAAAGGAGGGGAGTTGACTGGGGGTGGGATCCCTTCTGCCTCGGGAAGTTGAAGTCTTCCCGGGACAATGCTGCTGGCTGTGCCCCTGCGCTTGGCTTCGGGGGGGTTCTGTAGCCAAACCCCGCCTCAAAGTGGCTTTGGCCGGGGGGAGGGTCCCCCAAAACCTAAGGATCAGCAGGAGACCCCGCTCCCGCCCGGCCCGCCGGCTCGGGAATCCCTTAACGAGCCGCCGCTCCTTCCCGGCTAATTGTAATTGCTGCCCGAACTCGCCAGGGAGGGTGGCAGATGTCGCGCAGGACGCTGCCGCCCCCGTGGCATGTCGCTGCCAGCGGTGGGGACAACCACGCTCCGTCCCCCACATCCGACCCCTCTTGGCCGGGCACCCTCCGGACCCCCTAAAACTCCGAGGGGGTCTCACATCCCCCAGGACCGCCCCAAAACGAAGCCCTGTTTTGGGACTGGGGTCCCGACCTCCCGCCCGACCCTCGGCCAGTGGCATTTTCAGCGCTCCCCAAAATTCCCTTTCCCGGCAAATTGCCGCTGCCGCATCTCGGTGTTTCCCCGAACGGGGGCTGGGAGCTGCCCGTGCCCGGATATCTGGGTCAGTTTATCCTCAGCCACCATCTGAAAACGTTCTTTTCTCGGCAGAAACAATTAGGGGGGGCAGGTTGTTACTTTAGGGCCTCGGCGCAGTTTTTGCTGCATGTGGCTCCCCATCCCTGCCCGGCCGCAGCTTTTGGGGTGCCGAGCCCCTGTCGGTGAGGCAGAGCGGGGTCTGGGCGTCTCTGCGCTCCCGCTGCAGGAAGGATCGGAAGGATTTGTCCCGGAGGTGTGGCCGGTGGCACGGAGGGGGGGATGGCCACGGCAGCAGCTGCCGCTGGGGATGGGCAGGGGGGCTTGTGTGATGTGTGTGCACAAACACTTTTGGGGCCCATCTCCGACTTGAAGGGACTGGGAAAAGTTTACTTATCCAGCTCATTTCCATATGTCCTGGCTCCGTCTTGCGGAGGCCACCATATGTGCAGCAGCGCGGCGCTCGGGCTTTTCCCAGCCCCGCAGAGGGTGGGATTTTCCCCGTGGATACTTCGTGGCCGCTCTTCCTCTCCCATATTTTTTACCTTTCCCCGTGCTCCACCCGGCCATCGCAGTCCTCTCCTGCAAAGCCAGCCAAGAGGGGCAGAAAATTCCCTTTTTTTTTTTTCCCAGGAAAACCCCGCTGGATTGCGGGAAGGGCAGGGATAATTAGGCACAGTAATCCGGCCGGGCATGGAAATGTGTACCAACACCCAGCTCCTGCAGCTGTTTTTATTGTCAGCCCCCTTCAAAATTTGCCCACAAACAAGTGCCTTTGCAGGACGGGAGTATTATTTCGGGCAAGAATGGGCTTTTTGTTCGGCGCATAATTAGCTGATTTTTTTTTTTTCTCCCGGAGGGGAAAAAAACCACCAAAAAACCAAAACCCAAACCAACAAACCAACTCGATGCCTGATTGTGGCAGGAGCAAGCGGGGAGCGATTGTGCCTGGGAAGTGGAGCAGGAGCGAGGGGAGCCCCACGGGAGCTCCGCCAGAGCGGGGCTAAACGCAAAGATTTGGGGGAAATCAGCCTGCAGAGGGTCGGGCTGGACTAGGGGAGCACTCTGTGCCCTGGCCGGGCCGCGGAGGGGGAGCACACCCGGCCTGGGCTGGAGATGCGGCCCCAAAACGCCGCTCCGGGAATCGCTCAGGAGCGGGTGGCTTCGGGCAGCGTTTGTCCCCAAAAAACCTCGCAGCAGCGGCGCGGGGGCACCCTAGAAGGGGGCAGCTTTGGTGCCACATCTCCCGCTGCCCCAGCCCGGCCTCGGGCACCTCCCGCTGCCCCAGCCGGGCACCCCCAGCGGGCACAGCTCCGGTTCCAGCCGCTGAGAATCCGCCGCCTTTCTGCAAAGCAAACCCGCGCTTCCAGAGGCTCTCTCCAGCTAATTCTTCCATTTGCCGGGGAAATTTTAATTGCGTGGGAAACGTCACCAAAATCACCAAAATCACCTCACCCTGCAGCGCTTTTAAGTATTTTTTTTTCCCCCTTAGGAAAGGGAGGTGAGCAAGAGAAGAGAGCCCGAGCAGAAGTGCAGAAGTGCCTCCCAAAATCAGCGGCTCCCACTCCCCCGGCCGCGGGGAAAGGGAGGCAGCTCCGTGCGTGGCTCCGGCTTCGTTCCGGAATTTTGGGAGCTGCGAGCAAGGGGGTGGGAGGGCAGGATTTACCCCGGGCTGTGCACGAAGGGATTCGCCCCCCGCCCCACGCGTGGAACCCCTCCTTCCT